AATTATATTATTAAGTGGGGTGCGGGCGGGTATGGGGGCGGGGGTGGGGCCGGTATTAACATTCCCTCCCCGCCCCTGATTTTATCAATCGGAGAAAATTTGAACTCAAACCTAAACCCGATAAACACGGGTTTTTCCTGTCCAAATCAGGGCAGGTTTGGGCGGGTAACCACGGGACGGATTAGATTGTCATGCCTAAGTTTTACAATCTCAAATCACAAATTAATTGTGTTTCAATAATTTTGGATTTTTTTTATTAGTTTTTGGTTTTTAATTGAGCTGGTTTAATTTTGAACATCTTTGTCTATAGCTACCTACAAAAAGGATGTAGTTACTTATTGATTTTACTGTTTTTTAATTTTCGATTGAGCCACCAAGTGCTTTTATATATATATATATATATATAAATTATATAAAAAAGTATTTTTTTTAAAAGGAATTTAGACAAACACATTCAAAAGTAAAAAAAAAAAATACTTATTCTATTAAGACAAAAGAAAAACTTTTCTTAAGAAAAACTTAAATAAACAAGTCGTAAGTATGTGTTTACATAATAATGTTGAAGACCAAAACAATAAATGGTTCTAATAATATTTTTATTACAATTTAAGGGTCATAATTAATTTTAATAAGTATCCAAAGTCCAAACTTATTTTATATAATGAAAATTGATAATATATAAATATTTTGAAAGTACTTTTTGAAAATTTTCTATTTAAAATAAAGATTTTTTTTATATATAAAAGTTCTCATAATTGTTTTTTAAAGTTACATCTAAATATGGTTTAAATGTAATTTTGTTGCTACTAGTTGTTGCTTAACTTGCTTTAACACTTTTAGCTTTCACTGATTCCCACCTTGCTTCTGTTACAAAGAATAAACCCTTTTTTTTAATACTTATGCAACCTGCAATGCAATGTCTACGTAACATCTTTCTACGGGTGTCATAATTTTATTATTAAAAAGTTTACGTGAGTTATGTCATAGTATTTATCAACACTAAGACAAGTCTTAAAACTCTATGGGTACTTTTAGATTATTTATTAACAAAGTTTTTACATTAATATGTTATTAATTAACTTGACCAACCTTAGTTAAATAAAAATAATAAAAAAACCTTTGACGCGTTCAACTTGCACCGTGGCCTACTCAACTGCACACAAGTACCTATGCTTTTGATTTAATTGTTACATCTTTTTAACTCCAAACCAGGGACTTAAAGATCCTGTATTTTAACTTTTTATTATTAAGTCCATTTTTTATGGTTAACTTCAAGAAGAATTAACACGTATAACTCATTTATATATTATTTCTTAAAATTGTTTTTTAAACTAATAAAGTAAAACAATATCTTTTTAAAATATATTTCTTCCTTTTTCAAATAAATAACTGAATGCGGTATACATATTGTATGGAAAACACTTTGGATTTGATTTGCTAATGTATGTCCTCTCCAAAGCCCATTAATTATATATATATATA